TATTCTCTTCCATGTGCTTAGAGATGACCTCAAAAATAAGCTGCTCCACCATTTTTCCAGGAATGGAGGTGAGGCTGACTTGGTCTGTAGTTTCCTGAATCTTCCTTCTTGCCCTTTTTGAAGACTGGAGTGACATTGGCTATGTGTTTAACTTGAGCGTGTAAATGTGATATTTTCTAAACATAGAGTTATGAATATTGCGTTATTAAACATCCTTTTCAGCATTCTTGAGTGCTAACTTGACGCTGTTTATTTTAGCAAAAACAGATTGGCCGCTCACCTGGACTGAGCAGTATAGAACACCAGCAAGAGATCACTAAATTAAAGGCAGACCTGGAAAAGAAAAGTGTATTCTATGAAGAGGAATTATCTAAACGTGAAATAATGCATGCTAATGAAGTAAAAAGTCTGAAGAAAGAACTGCGGGATGCAGAGAGCCAGCAGCTTGCCCTCAAGAAGGAGATAATGATTTTGAAAGACAAGTTAGAGAAAACCAGAAGAGAAAAGTGAGTACTATATGGAATTTACTTTAAAGCTCAAAATCTGTTTCAGGTCTCCTAGTATTTTTGCAAATGTACTGTCACATCCTAAATCACCTTTAACAAGAAAACAGAATAAAAATATCCACATTCCTGTACTGAAACAGTGAATTTTGCACCAGAATTCTTGCAGTGGTTGACCATTCCAAGATATGTAACTTGAGTTGCAGCTTATGTTGCAGTTTAAAATAGTTTTTTTGACATTTTTTTGTGTTTGATACATCAAACTTTTAATACAAAACTAATGTGTTAGAGATCAGTTATTGCTTACATTCCTGCCAAAGCAGGAACAGACACTTAACAGTGACTAAGGTTAATCTATGCTAGATTCCATTGAATGTTAACATCAGTCATCAGACTACAGCAGGCATAAGCTGCTTTATGGTAATTTGTCAGAGACCTGCGTTTTTCTCTCCCACGTGGTGGAGCTTGTAACTGGCCTTCAGAATGTTCCTTGAGGCATTCATCAAGTTTTTTTGTTGGATGGTGTAGTGATATAAATAATAATAAATTCCATGTGTTGACTTTCATTCATAAAAAATTCAGAACACTTGGTAGATACAATCATAGATGCTTCTTTCTGCTGCTATGGTAAGATAGTGTATTAGAAAAGCCATGGAGAAATTTCTGCTGGAAGTTTAGCCAAACTGTAACAAGTCCTTAAAAATAAGTAGTAAAGAAATTATTTTTCAAAAAGCTTGTACAAATAGAGGTGGAAACACTGTTTCTCTGGTAAATTATTTCCAGAGGGGAAGTAGATCATACAGCCTAGAATGCAGTGGATGAACTGTTTTTTTCCTGGAATACATCTATTCATAGGCTGGACTTACTAACACAGTAGCTTGCTGCTTTGTTCTAGGTTGAGAGGTAAAACTTGCATCAGCAGTGTGTTTTCATTGTATCATGACTTAATGGTCTTGCTGACCATTGCTGAGTTATAAATTCACAAAAAGGCTATCCTGTCTTGTAATAAACAAAATTGATAGTATGTTACCCTTTTAATGCCATGTCAGTGCAATAGTATCTTGGAAAGAGGAATAATCAATAAAGAATAATTAATAACTCTTTCCACAGGCTAACTGTTGCTAAATATCATGCCTCCAAACACTGACCAGACCAATACCACATGGGTATTTTTATCAGAACCATTCTCATGTTGTATAGCTTCAAAATTCTGACTAGATGTCCATCTAGTGAACTAACAAATTGCGTAACAATGTTGATCTGCTTCATGCTACCTAGGTCATAAACCTTATTGCAATTTAGTTTCTCCCATAATTAAACAAAGAACCTGATGCAAATCTAAAATGAGTGCTGAAGTAGCTGTGTTTTTGTATGTATTTCAAATGTTGGTGTAAGATAAAATTTTAAAGCAGAGAAGTGTCACATAACGAGAAGTGTGTCACATAACCAGAATCAAATATTTGGTTTTTAATGCGAAGACTTCAGCATCGTGTAAAGCCAGGTGTACACACAAATGCTGAGTGATTAATGAAGACCTGATCTATAATGAGTTTTGTTAAACAAATTTGCAGAATTTCATGCAAGAATTAGGGCTGCACAAAAATGTAGAAGTCCACTGTTCAAGGAGTGCTACAGATTGACTTCTGTGGTAGTTCAAGGATTTAGAAGGGAAGTTTAAATAGTAGGAATGGAAGAATTGCTGTTGCTCCCCGATTCTCAGTATTTTGTAGTTTTTCTTAAGAGAACATGGATTTTATTTTTTTTTTTCTGCTTACGCATACTGTTTCTAGTTATTGTAATCAGGCAAGCGAAGCATTTTTGAGTCTGCTAGTGTAGAGGTTTTCAATGTAAATGTTGAAAAGGAAGCATCTGGAGGCTTTATGCTGAAATAAGTGGAATTATTTCAACAATAGGCCTGGGGTGGATGTGTTACTGAAGTGTGTGCATAGAGTTTGGGGAAAAAATTTAGTGGCCTAAAAATAATCTTCAGTGTTTATTAATAAATAAACAAAGCTTTGATAAGAGGATGTGGTTGCGTTACTTCTTAAGGGCTATAGTATAGAGGGAATTATGTAAGTTATTCTAAGCAAGGGTCAATTAGAGCTTGGTCTAAATCTGTGTGTGTTTTTTATGTAACTTGAATGTTGGTTTGGATTTAATTTTTTACTATAGGAGAGAAACTACCTTTCTGTACAAAATGATAACCCTTTGCTGAAGTCTGATAAACTGCATGCTATTAAAATTAGGAATGGAGGAAAACAGTATCAGGCCACTGATATATATAACACAATTTCTTAGAATTGTCGTTATGAAATACTTCCAAAGAAGGTGTAAGAAACTACGTAAAATAAATTATGTTTGTAGAAGTTTCTCTTAAGCCCATCATTTAATGATAGAACTATAAAGCAGAGCTTTGTAAAACAGCAGTAGAGCTCCTGGAGCAAGTCCAGAGAAGGGACATGAAGATGATCCGAGGGCTGTAGCACCTCTCCTATAAGGACAGGCTGAAAGAGTTGGGGCTGTTCAGCCTGGAGAATAAAAGACTCCAAGGAAATCTTACAGCAGCCTTCCAATATCTGGAGCGGACCTACAGAAAAGCTGGGGAGGAACATTTTACCAGGGTATGTAGTGATACTATGAAGGGTAATGGTTTTAAGCTGGAAGAGGTTACGTTTAGGTTAGACGTTAGGAAGAAATTCTTTACTGTTAGGGTGGTGAGACGCTGGAACAGGTTGCCCAGGTAGGTTGTGGATGCCCTCTCCCTGGAGGTGTTCAAGGTCAGGGTGGACAGGGCTTTGTGCAGTCTGGTCTAGAGGAAGGTGTCCCTGCCCTTGCAGGGGGATTGGAACTAGATGGTCCCTTCCAACCCAAACCATTCTATAAGTGCATGATCTGCTGTTTTTAAACTGTGTGATATAAAGAAGCCAGGGGGCTGGTGTTTGCTTCAGGTCTACTTTTCTTTGTTTCAAAGCAGTAAGAGAGAATATTTCTCCACTTTGTACAGCCACAATAAAGAGCTGGAGTGAAAAGCGATACGATAAAGCTGTATTTCACATGGCTTGCGTGTGGTTTCCTATAGTTACTTTACTGATAAAAAGAAAGCTGGATCATATATGATTTCTAAAATTGAAGTGTGGATACATAGCTAAATTTTGGGTGAGAGAAAAAGCTTAATGGGAGAGGAAGATGCCAGGTTTCAAATGAAATGTATTATTTTGATCTTCCTGGCTGTCCAAGGTATGCCTATAGCATGTGTCCTATTTTTGTATTGATATTGGGATAGATTATACCTACAGTCTGCAAATATGTTTGACTCTTTGGCTTTTCTGGCTGCTTTGAACCTTATAACTCTAGAAGAATAAATTTTATACAAATAAGGAATAAAAAACCCTAAACAAAACCATAGAAACTGAATAAAATAAATAATTACTTTAAAAATAGTTTGCCCTACTGCCTGAGAAATTAGCTTTGAATCTGTGCCTTGCAAACAGAAGCACAACCTGTTACTAATTCCCCTGACAGCCAGTGCTTTAATCTCTTCCTGACTTTTCCCTAGTCTGCTCATCATATGCATGGAACCTGTTGATACAGAAAAGGAGTGGAAAAGGAGTGGTGGTGAATTTAAAACTTGGCATTTAAACAATACTGGTAGTATGTTACTTTCGTAGGATGTAGTGTTATGTTTCAAAGGATGCCTAGCAACATGGAATTTCACCATGAGTCTAACATGCTGTACTAGATTTCAAAGAGTGGTTTAAGCACTAAGTGAATTTCAGATCAGAAATAGGAAATTCAAACCAGCATTACTCTTAACAGGGCTCGCTGTAACCATTGACACTTCTCATCTTTTAAGGATGTTCTATTAGTTTGGCAGAGCTGTAGCAGTTCTGCATCTCAGAAGAAAGACAGGGAAGTATTGAGGTTTTTTGTTGCAAAATGTAAAATTCTGATTAGTATCCAGAAAAAAAAAACAACAGTTGCAATGCCCAAGAGAAGATTTTCCCTGAATTTTATGTCTGCAGAGTTAACCTTTCATACTGTATATTTTCTCAAACTTTTTAGGGCTGGACAGTGGTATTTCTGAATGGTATTTACTGTATCTGTGGTATTTATAGTGTAGTTCCATCAACCAGTGAATACAAATTGCAAATGTAATGAGTCTCAAAAGAGTGGATGTGAGGTGAGAGCTGCAGATCTGAAGTGTTGGCATACACCATTTCAAATAAATTACTTTTTTTTTTTTCAAATAGAGCAGCTTAATTTATTTTCAGGTTCTCATATTCAGTGTGCAAGATCAAAGTTGGTGTTAAGCAAATCAACCAGGAGTTGTCATCTACTGAATGACATTCACAAGAGAAGGGAAGGTTTTGGGGGAAATAGCTACTTTGAAACTCTTCCTCAGAAAGAATGCTCCGCATTTGTAGAATCTGGTGATATTAAGAGTGTATATTATAGGTTATCTATTCACTTTTTGATGCTATTAATGAACAGTTCAAGTGTGTCTTCTGGCTGTTACCAGCTGACCAAAACCCATATAAGCTTTCCTTGTCAGAGACCTAGGACCAAATGCTCTAATTTACTGTTTGCACATTCTGGTTTTATATGTGGTCATTTTTGCCTGTCCTTTTGTGTGAAACATGGAATTATAGAAATGTCTAAGTTAAAAGAATGTTTCTGTGAACTGAGGATTTACCCTGAGTGTCATAAAATTTTGAGATGTACTTCGGTCTGGAGAATTACAGCTGTTCAGTGTTCGAAGGGTTCATCTAAACAATAAAATATATATATAAGTGGATTGATAAGCATTAGCTTAGTGGAGCTCTATTAATTCCATATTGCAGGGAAGTTCATTGTCTAATGATAAAATTCGACAGGTTGTCTTGTAGTCCTGAGGTGCTAGTATTATACATTACTTGCTTAGTTTTCATAGGCAGTGGTATTACTAGCAAGACTTTCAGTTAGTGTGTGCATTGACCTTTATGTATTTAAATGAATAGTATGATGAGTTTTAGAATCAAAAACTTCCTAATTCTACTTAATTTTTTTTCTTAGCCAAAGTGAAAGAGAGGAATTTGAAACAGAGTTCAAACAGAAGTGTGAACGAGAAAAGATTCTGCTAACAGAGGAAAACAAAAAACTTTCCAATGAACTCGATAAGGTAGGTCCTGACTTTATAACTATTGTGTGCTATGTAGAAATTAGACAGTTTTGAGCTGTATTGCTTATTATTATCTCTTAATTGATAGTAGAAATTAATATTACACAAAGAGTGGTGATTAATATTTGATTTGAGTGTAGGGTTTCTACATGCATCTGAACTTGAGAATGTGTGCAAATATATATATGCATGTACATCTATTTTTGTACAAATTGAGTTATATGGTCTTAAAGTTTGGTAAGATTATTATTAGATAATACCTTAAGCAAAAAAAATATTTCTCAGTGTATGACCCAAATATTAAAATACATAATTATGTGCTTACTTAGAGTATATTTGTGTATCAATTGCTATGAAATAGCAGAGCTCCTCCTACCCTTTGACATTAAGATTACTTTAAGATATTAAAAAGTACAAATGGAAAGGCATATTAATTGAAGAAGTGTGTGGAGCAAGAATTAAATATGTTTAATGCATTTAAATTACCTCTTTATTGTTCATCTTGCCAAACTTGCTTATTCTTTTTGTAATGCATTAGGTTTTCTAAAAATATGATGAAAGTACAGTGTTCTTCAAAGTAAGCATGTTTGCATGTCAGTGTTCAAATTAATGTATATTTTCATACCAGTATAAGACTCATACTATAGATGCCTATTTCTAGGCTTAGTCCAAGAGCAGTAAGAGACTAGTCACTTTGATAGATTTTATGTTTGGTCTCTCCTTTTGTTTTTTGTTTGTTTTTTTTTGAATGTGGTTACCTTTGTATTTTTCTTGTCAAATGGCACGTGTATATAACTCATAAACCCATTTAAATTGGAAATATGGAATGAAGTACTAATATTACAAGTAAAAAGCAGAATAGATTTAAAACTCATATGTTTTTAATCTTTTGATTTGTTAATATATTTCAGTACTAAAAATGCCTTTCACATGAGATTTGTTCTCTGAAGCAGTCCTTCTAATAAAGTCTACCTGATCTGTGATCCCTGTTTGATTTTTTTAATAGTTATTTAGCATAATGAAGGGTTAGTTCCCAATACCACCTCAGGTTAGCTATGTTTTTTGTCTTGCAGAATGGGCATGTATGAGTGACAGCTGTGTGAATGCAAGAAGTTAATTACTAGGTATAACATATTGTACTTACAGATGTGCATTTAAGTGTACTTTCCCTATCTACAAGTGAGTAAAATGAAAAATACAGGACTGTGAGACACCCAAAGAATCTGACTCAAGCCTGTATCTTTTACGCCTGCCACTCTCCATGGACAGGTTTGGCAGCTTTATCTGAGCTGTAACAATTTTTGTGCCCTTGCTTTGCTCTTTTAATGTAGTTTATTCTATGTAGAACATTCCACACCTACATGGTGCAAAGCAGAACCCTTCTAAGAATCAGAGAGGTTTTTGGAGACTAATTCTCAGAAAACTAATTACATTTTTAGAGTAAAAATACAGCTCTAGTCCTAAAAAAATGGCCTTTTAGTACAGCAAAGATCATACATGAGAAGAGATTCTGGCTTCTGTTGTTACATGGTGTTTATTGTAATGGGTAGTACCAGTATTTAAAGCAGCTGCACAGTGTGGTAGGGGGGAACACATAGCTTTGACTTTACACAGAGATGGGGTCACAGCAGGTTATAGTTTTAACAAGTTGTTTAATTCTCATTCAGCTCACCACCATGTTTGAGAGGCTGAGTATGAGTAACCGGCAGCTGGAAGAAGAGATGAGAGATCTGGCTGATAAAAAGGAGTCCGTGGCCCACTGGGAGGCCCAAATTACTGAGATCATCCAATGGTGAATACTCTGCTCTAATGTCATTGCAGAACCCCTCAGTATGTGGTAGAGCTGTTACTGAGATTTTGCACTTTCATATGGCACTCTGGTGAAATCTCACACCCATCTTGGATTCTGCTCTATTTTTCCTTGAGATTTTAATAATACCCAAATCTGGAAAATTGTGTTCCTCCTTAAACGTGAAAGTGTCTTGGCAGATACGACTGTTCATGGCCATTGGGTGTGGCTTGTGGCTTTGGAAGAATGTTGGAAGGAGTCATGTGCTGAGCTCACTCCTCCAAGGAGAAACAAGGGAAAAGCAGTGACTGAGAGTATTTGTGACTGGGCATTAATTTTCGTCATCTGCTTAGCATGTGGCAGAATGAAACAAATGCAGAGCAACTTCTGTGTTATTTTTTTATATGAAAGGCATTTGAGACTACCACAAAGCCAGTCAAGTGATGTGTTGAGAGAGTTCATTCTCCCCTTCTAATCTGAACTGCTGAGGCCACATCTGGAAAACTGCGTCTAGTTCTAGGCTCCCCAGTTTAAGAGGGAAAGGGAGATACTAGAGAGAGGAAAGGGAACTACTAGGGAGAGTCCAGTGGAGGGCAGCAAAGATGACTGGGGGATTGGAGCATCTCCCTTATAAAGAAAGGCTGAGGGAGCTGCGACTCTTTAGCCTGAAGAAGAGAAGGCTGAGGGGGAGACCTTATTAATGCCTATAAGTATCTAAAGGGTGGGTGCAGGGAGGATGAAGCCAGGCTCTTTTCAGTAGCTCCCAGTGACAGGACAAGGGGCCAGGGGCACAAGCTGAAACATAGGAAGTTCCATTTAAATATGAGAAAAAACTCATAAATATGAGGGTGACAGAGCACTGGAACAGGCTGCCCAGGAAAGTTGTGGAGTCCCCTTCTCTGGAGATTTTCAAAACCTGCCTTGATGCGGTCCTGAGTAATGTGCTCCCTTGCATCCTGCTTTAGCAGGGGAGTTGGACTAGATGATCTCTAGAGGTCCCTTCCAACTGTTTGACAATTCTGATTCTAATAATACTGTTGCTAAATAATGACACTAAGTTTTCTGTCCTATTCTAATAAATTAAGGAAAAAGAAAAGACTCAAGTAGAACGTATTAGAAGGAAAATGATGGTTTTATCTATGTGGCTGTTATTTTTCCTCTCCATGTCTGCTTCTTTCCTCTCCCCTTTTATGGTCCATTGCAGTCTTTAGCATCTGCAAAAACAGCTGGCATTTAGGCATTTATTTATAGTTCTATATTTATTCTGGGAAAGATTTAATTATCATATGCTAATCTTTTTTTTGTATACTACTTGATTGTTACTTTTCCCATCTCATGGTAGTGAAAAAATCAAATTTGTTGTGTCAAAGCAAAAATGGGAAGCATTTGTTTTGATGGAACCTAATTTGGTATTGTAACCTCAATATAATTTTGTTATCCAAATACAGGTAAGTTTGCTTTTGAAAATAGCCATGTGACTCCTTGAGCCCTAAGAAGGGCTGTCCTCTGGGGTTCTAGAATTGTTTTAAATAGGATTTGTTACATGAAGTTATATATTGCCCATCTGTATTACATTCATAGTGTCTCAAGACATTGTATTCATAGCAGAGGATAAAAAATTTAAAGGGTTCATTTTGTGTGTTCCTTTCAATCTTACCTGCATCACAGAAATTTTAAAAAACCCAAACCCACAAGCAAACATAAAAGTTGTTTAAATGAACAGCAAATTTCTAGTCAATCAGAAATGCTTCCTTGGAAAAAAGGTCAAGGTAACAAGAGGCACAAGTCTGTTATTTCACATTCCATATGTTTTTTAAGGTAATACTTATCTACTTAATGCACCAAGGACAAACCCCATTTTTCAGATATAAATGTGAAAGCACTCATAAAACTTGGCAGTACTGGAAAAAGACAGATCAGCAGTAGTTGTGGATTGTTTTACTTAACACTATGTAAAAATGTGCCAGATGCCATTAACAATTTTCCAATTTCTGAGAGTGCTTAATATTTTAAGATGTGCTACTGATGTGGTTCAGGTATGTGATAAAGAATCTTGCATGTATTAGAGATGTCACTTGGGGGTAGCAGATGTTTGGAATTGGGATTTTTTATTATCTCTAAGGATACTTAATGAAAGAAACATTAGGTACATGCAAGACTAACTTTCTGAGTGAAAGATACCATTTTACTGGTCCCTTATGATAATACAATGTCTTTTGAAAAGCATAGAGCTAAAAATTATGGGAAAAGAAAAAGAAGTAGAGGTACTGTGGGCAAACATTAAGGAGATAAAAAAAAACCTGGCTTGGTTCCAGTTTTTAATCACAGTATACATCTCAATTTTCTCTCCATACTTCTCTCTACTTCTGTAAATTTTTTTTCAGTTATGAGACCAATCTTGGCTCACACTTTTTTGCCATGTTTAGATTTTCCATGTGTTAGCCACATAATCTGGTAATGTCCATCTGCTGTCCTTAGAATTCGGCACTGTATTTCGAAAGTAGGTCTTTCTCTAAAAAGCTTTTGTGGAACATGGAGTGCTTTATGAAGTATTTAAACATCTATAATAATGCAAAACATTTTTAAAGGCGAAAAAAACACAACCGTTTTGAAGAAAACAAATCTTAATCAGTCACAGGTCTATGTTTTCCTCAGAAGAACATGCAGTTTAAATCCATACCTGTCTACCTCTTCAGTATGACAGGAGAATGCCTTGGAGCTAACAAAGTAGGCTAGAGCTTGTAGGCTCCCTCTTCAAAACTAAGAGATTTTTCACGTGATAGTACTTAATATATATTTTGGATACGTATTTTCCACCTCTGAGAAATGTGTTTTACCTGCCATCTTCTATTTGTACCGTGATTCATGAAGGATAGGAGCCAGTAGATGAAATAGGTTACTGGTTTTTTTAATTATTTTTTCAGCTGTCTGTTCAAGGGATTTGTTCTAGCCCTGTTTCAAGTAACACAAGCCTAAGTAGTACCTTACTTCCCTTAAGCGCTTTACCATCTAATAGCTATCTTTCTCAGGAAATCTGCCCTACTCTTTGAGTCCACATAAACGTGTCACTTTCTTCACAAGTCCTTGGCTCTCCTGAATTATTGTTTCTTTCAGATTTTATAACTTGCAAGTGATTTTAGTGGCCTATCACATTCCCCATAGCCTTTCCCTGCTTTCTTACTGGGCTCTCTTGCATCTTGTTTACAGCAAATATACAGCAAAGCATTTTTGTTTTTGCTGTTACTGCCCCAAGATGCCATAAATCAGTCAAAATCTTAATATAAACTCTTGAATCAAACTTCTATTGCAAATTCTTGTGTTGTAGCAATAGACCCTCCTAGGTTGTTCAGACTTAATGGAGCTGTTATATTGACATATTTATATTAGCCAAATCACTTTTTTATTATATTTGTTTATATTTTTATATTATTAAATATATTTAGCCAAATAACAAATTCCTTGACAAGGGTAAGAAATACTGAGGCTTTTATAGTCAGCTGTGAATTTTCCTATGGGAGATAGGAAAGAGATTCGTTGCATAGGAGGTTAATGTAGTCACTCTAAAAAGGAATCTTTTAAATAGCTGCAGTACTGTATTTCTGCTCTGTTGCAGAAAGGATATTGATGGAAAAAATCTTGGTAGTGATTCCCAGAGTACTTGGCAAGAATCTTAATAGTCTCTCTTGGGGAGGAATTTGTCCAACCTAGTTTTAGGAGTCCTAAGGTAGACAGCTCAAATGAATCCCATAAGTAGTATGGTAGAAGTCTGTCATTCTCCCCACTGACTGAAAAGAAAGCCTAGACAATTAGTTCAAATGAAGAATTCTGTATTGTAAAATACATTTGTTTATATGGATGGCCCAACTGCTACCTAGTTTACCTATAGAGTGAACATTAGGTTGAGATTCAGCTGGCCAGATGATCTTTCCAGTTAACTCTACTATGGTTGATGTAGTCAATCTCATTGAAAAAAAACAACCCAAACAAACCCAAACAAGAAACCCAAACCTTCCTGCAATAAATCAAACTTTAAAAACCTCAAAGCTTTTTCTTTAAATGTAGTTGCTCTCAGAAGAAGGAACCCACAAATTGCAGAAAGGGCTTAACAAGAATTCTGGAGAAATTCAACTGTAAGAAACGCAAAATATGAAAAATTCTGATATGTGTTGTGTTTGAGGTACTAATAATCTGAGGATAATTATCAAGAAAGAAGAAATTCTGGAGGGCAAAGGGAAATTTCACGCTTTGGGAGAAGAGTGAAATGTTGACAATATTTAGAGAAATAGTTAAAATAAATAAATGTTGTTGGAGAGGGCAGGGGAAAAAAAAGTCATTATGTTGGCGGCTTTGAGCATAGTGGTATGAAGGCAGAAATTTAAACGCATTGAGAAACTACAGGAGGAATGGAGGACATGGCCCACAGACTTCTTTGGCATTCTTAAATCAGGCAAGATCATGGAGCAAATCCTCCTGGAAAGTCTGCTAAGGCACATGGAAAATAAAGAGGTGATTGATGACAGCCAATATTGCTTCACTAAGGGCAAGTCATGCCTGACCAGTCTAGTGGCCTTCTACAACAAGGCTACAGAGATGGTGGATGGTGGCAGAGCAACTGACGTCATCTACCTGGGTTTGTGCAAGGCGTTTGACACTGTTGTACTTGACATCCTGGTCTCCAAGCTGACAAGACAGGGATTTGACAGATGGACCACTTGGTGGCTAAGAAATTGGCTGGATGGCTGCACCCAGAGAGTTATGGTCAATGGCTCAATGTCCAAATGGAAGCAGGTGACAAGTGATGTCCCTCAGGGGTCAGTATTGGGACCAGTGCTGTTCAACATCTTTGATAGAGACATGGACAGTGGAACTGAGTGTTTCCTTAGCAACTTTGCTGACAATACCAAGCTGTGTGGTGTGGTTGACACCCAAGAGGGAAGGGACCTGGACAGGCTGGAGAGGTGGGCCAGTGCCAACCTCATGAAGTTCAAAAAGGCCAAGTAGAAGGTCCTGCACCTGGGTCGGCACAGCCCCAAGGCACAAATACAGGCTGGGGGAAGAATGGCTTGGGCGCAGTCCTGAGGAGAAGTACTTGGGGGTGGTAGTGGATGAGAAGCTTGACATGAGCCACCAGTGTGTGCTGGAGCCCAGAGAGCAACTGCATCCTGGGCTGCATCAAAAGAAGTGTGGCCAGCAGGGCCAGGGAGGTAACTCTGCCCCTCTACTCTGCTCTGGTCAGACTACACCAGGAGTACTGTGTACAGTTCTGGTGTCCTCAGCACAAGAAAGATATAGACCTGTTGGAGATGGTCCAGAGAAAGGCCACCAAGATGATCAAAGGCCTGGAGCAGCTCTGCTATGAAGACGGGCTGAGAGAGTTGGGGCTGCTCAGCCTAGAGAAGAGAAGGCTCCAAGGACACCTTATAGCAGCCTTCTAGTACTTTGGGGGCCCTACAGGAAAGCTGGGGAGGGGCTTTTCATCAGAGAAGATAGTGATAGGACAAGGGGTAATGGTTTTAAACTGAGAGAGGGGAGATTTAGGTTAGATATTAGGAAGAGATTCTTCACTATAAGGGTGGTGAGGAACTGGAATGGGTTGTCCAGGGAGGTTGTTGATGCCCCATCCCTGGAGATTTTTAAGGCCAGGTTGGACGAGGTTTTGTGCAACCTGGTCTAGTGGTAGGGTTTCCTGCTCATGGCAGGGGGTTTGGGACTTGATGATCTTTAGGGTCCCTTCCAACCTTAATGATACTATCATTCTATGATTATTGCTTATTTATTGAATATTCAATATATATGCTTTGTATGCAGTCCTATTCATATAATCATATGTGTATTAAATAAAACATGGCAGCGTGAGCCTAACGTTAATATGGCACACCTGGTACCAATTCAGTCTGACAAAGATTTGGTAACAGTACATTTAAAAATCCCCCTTGAATTTTGAAACACAATAGAGCTTTTCAGCTTCACAGATGACAACACATCTAACACTTTTTTCCTTGTATGAAGTTTTCCTGCCCACCTTGATTCTTCAATTTACTCAATTCCAGCCTTCCCATTTGTTTACCTCAGTACTGTGATATTTTCTAACATTTGCTACAACATGCCTCCCAAATGCCAAACTTCTGCCTTCTGCAGGTAACTCCCATAACTTAACACACGCCCTCTGCTAAGGGCAAGGGAAACAAAGAGGTCTTCATTTGACGTTCGCTTATCTTCCCAATCATTCAATAAGGTGCAGCTTGGCATAAGATCCTAGGGCTTCAGGACTCCTCCTGTTCATCAGAAAATCTTTAGTACTCTGGATCCATTTTGTATTACAAATTACCCTGGATAGAGATAGAGAGAGTCTGAGGTGTCTACCAGCTTTACAGATAGCATACTAGGTGGTTCTTTTAAGGTTGTTATGAAGTTAGCTCCAACTAAAAAGTTAAATTACATTTTAAAGGAACTTGTCCTATATGACTGTTCTAGATCCTTTAAAGTTAAGGAACTAAACTTGCAGGGACACTTATATTCTGTGTGAAAACTGAACAATTAATCTAATATATAGATTTTCAGTAGAGAAAGAAATTAGTCTAAGTGAAACCTAAAGAACTTTTCCTTATGCCTTTTGCTGCCCTTGTTAGGTGTCTCTACAGGGGAGGAAGGAGACAAAAATTAGTAAGACTAATTTTACCATTCTTGCTTTATCTTTAGTTTAATTAAAAAAAAAAAAAAAAAAAAAGCCAAACACCCCCCAGAAAAACAGTAACAATTAAAAAACTTCTAGAGCTCTTTTGTTCCTATGTTGCTTTAATCTATCTCATTATCCAGCGATGGTTGCCATTGATTGGACCACAAACCTGTATCTCAGCTTTTCATAGTTTGCATGCTGCTTATATTTACTGTGTTACTCAATATAGTTTTTTTAAAAAATTTACTTTATAGTTTCATTTTCTAGATCTTTATAATTTCTGTGGAACTTCTCTCTGAGGTGTGTGGAATGTGTGGCTTTTCAGAACTTACAGCTTGAAGGTTCTGTGCATCATAAACCAAATACCCGAAGTGTTTTCTTATCTTCCTCAAGGAAGGATCAATTTTACCATTCTTGTTTTATTTTTATTTTAAATAAAAAAAAAAAAAAAAAAAAGCCAAACACCCCCCAGAAAAACAGTAACAATTAAAAAACTTCTAGAGCTCTTTTGTTCCTATGTTGCTTTAATCTATCTCATTATCCAGCGATGGTTGCCATTGATTGGACCACAAACCTGTATCTCAGCTTTTCATAGTTTGCATGCTGCTTATATTTACTGTGTTACTCAATATAGTTTTTTTAAAAAATTTACTTTATAGTTTCATTTTCTAGATCTTTATAATTTCTGTGGAACTTCTCTCTGAGGTGTGTGGAATGTGTGGCTTTTCAGAACTTACAGCTTGAAGGTTCTGTGCATCATAAACCAAATACCCGAAGTGTTTTCTTATCTTCCTCAAGGAAGGATCTATATGGCATGATAAATATTGGCAAAAAAATTGGACATTTGAAGTTGTTCAGCTTTAATTAGAAATGTTAAAAAAATATTAAATTTCTTTTCACTTCTTCTACATCAGGAAAACTTACTTTCTCGCATTGAAAACCTCACACTCTCTTTTTTCCTAGCTGCAATCTTCTCTTTTTGTTCCACATTTCATTATGGACCCACACATACCTCCCCCAAAAGCATCTTATGCTACTTCTCACATCTTTTGCCCACTCTTGTACCATAAGTGGTTTGTGTAGGCTCAGGTTATCGGCATCTGGTCATCAAAATGTGTTTCATCCAGAAAGTAGGGTGGGAGGGGGTGGAAGTAGGCATGCTGCTTCCATTGACTTTTTATGTCCCTTGGGAAAGATACTGACTCATTAATATCAAAACTCTCACTGACTTTTAATAAAGTCGGGACATGAGCTTGTGGGTTTTTTTCTAGGGTCCTCCCTATCTCTTGAACTGAATTGTAGGTAGGATACAAATAAGATAAAACCCAAAGCAAAAATAACTGTTCACATCATACTGGACGCTAATTTTGTGGAAAGCGGTCACTATTTTTGCATTAGCTTCCTCTGTGTGAAAGCAATGTCTCTTGATATAAATCTTAATCTGCATGCCCAGAACTCAGCACAACCTGTAGATGTTTAGCCCATACCTTTTGCATTGTGATCTTACCCTGAGGCCACAATGGGAAGGCTCTTCTGTTCTTCCCATCTCTGTGGCAGTTCAGAGTGTTTACTCTCTGTTTTTCTTGCCTCCTGGTGACTATCCATAAATCTTTGTTGAAACATGTTATTATTTATATTAATTTTAAACTTGCAAGTAGCACCGTTCCATATTCACTCTGTGTATGAACCCCATAGTATCAACCAGAGAAACTTACATTACTTTGTAGACATGTAGAGGGAATCACTTTCTGCATAAAGGTCACTTAAGAGATGAAGTCATCTTTCTGGACAGCTCTCATCTCTAATCCAATGTACTCAGGATTACAGTTATTAAAGAGAGATCAAGAAGCAAGGGTAAGTTAATTTTCATGAAGCAGAAAAACTGTTTTCCCACTTTCCTATAAGTTATTTAAAACTATGTGAGATTCATTATTTAGTGCACTTCCTAAACATTTCTGTGGTTATTGTAGCTGTGGTATTTGACTTGTAGTCTCTGAGACCAGCTCAGACTTATGCCCCAGTGATGCAAACTCTAGTTTGTTCTTCTGTGAGCAGGTATGTCAGAGCCGTGCATGTAAGGTAAAGGAAATGTGTGTAGGGTTTTTTTTGTTTGTTTCTTTTTTCCTCCCTGTTTGTTTTAGGTTTCTTCTAAGCTACTTAGTTTCACTGAGCTAATGTTTTAGCATCTTTCTTTTCTATGTTAATACTTGAGACAAAGTGAAGAGTCATCTGCTGTGATTAATCACAGAAAGTTTTTTTTATTTTAATTTGTAACTGGTGACCAAAGAATCTGAAAAACAGACATGTCGTCTTGATGTGTTTACACTCAGAAAATGTGTCTTTTTAGAAAGTTCAGGGGATGACAGAGCCTCTTCTGGCTTATGCTGTTTAATAACATTAGAACTTGGCTCTCCTTCTTTAATTAACATTTCTTGAAATACCATCACTGATTCTAACTACTAGTTCTAAAAGTCAATTGATACAGTGAAGTCAACTGCTAGTTCCAATATTGTGTATGGTTGAATTATTCATTATTAATTTTGTCATAATTATTCCTTAAAAATAGGTTGACTACTAAAAAGTTTCTTTCCCACATTCTCAATTTCAGGTAGCTGATATTTATGCTGAGGCATGTAGTTCCTGAGTCTTTCTTCCTTCTCTTTGTGACGCTTATTGTTTAATGGAACTTTGCACCATAGCAAAGGCTTAGTTTTTTGTGGTTTTCTGCATTCTTTTTTTTGTTTCCTTATGTACTACAATTTTTGTTCTGTATTCTGCTATTTTCTGTTTCTGGTTGCTGTTATGTTGATGTGACTTTGGGGTTTTTTTCTTTAAATTCTTTGGTTAAAATTCCTGTTTCTTCTAATCTAATTGTTTAGGGTAAGTGATGAAAAAGATGCTCGAGGTTATCTTCAAGCTTTGGCCTCTAAAATGACAGAAGAACTAGAGGCCTTGAAGAACTCCAGTTTAGGTGCAAGAGCTACAGTAAGTGTCTTATTTCCATATGTCAGATTATTATTTTTTGTTTTGAAAAACACTGATTTGATAGTTTCAACTACAGTAATAACTCGTCTGCTATACCTGTGTTAGTGAAAAGGTAGACTTTCCTAGAGCTTGAATAACTAAATAGTACACTTATTGCTTAACAATTAATTAAACACCAATGTCTTTATAATGTGGTTTTATCTATTATATTGTTCAAGTAACTAATATCATATATTAATTTATTGAAGTAAATCTATACTTTGGTCATGAAAACCTTAAAATCTTTCACTTGGGGAATGTGAATGGCCTTCATAGCTGTCATTTTAATTGATGCACATCAAAACTAGAATTAATGAAATCTCTGCTTTTGAGATCGTGACAGCATAAGACATTCATCTTGCTGATTTAGTACATGAGTTTAAAAATAATAGAAGTAACAATATTCTAAATTATTTTAATTTTATATTACTTTGGAATTAACTAACTCTTCTGTTAAAATCGTAACAGATTGAGAAAACCATTGAAGCTAGTTACATTTGTAATTTTCTGCCTTCTTTCCTTTTTCTTCTCTCTCCCCCTTTTTTTTTTCCTTTACTAGGACATGCCCTGGAAGATGCGGCGCTTAGCAAAACTGGATATGTCTGCAAGGTTGGAGCTACAGTCTGCTCTTGATGCTGAAATCCGAGCCAAACAAGCTATTCAAGATGAGTTGAATAAAGTCAAAGCTTCCTGTATCTCTACAGAGTGGTAAGACTGAATTGTTCTGGTGGAAATTTACTTTGATACCTGCCATGGAGTGTAATCAAGTAATGATTTTAACTATCTTGTCTGTCAAAATTTGATAACAAACGATATCCCAGTTTCTTGTATCAAAATGTGAAAAAAAAAAAAAGTGTCTTAATTGTGTCTCAATTGTGTAAGCAGCTGAACACTTACTGGGAAAAATTGAAATCTTGAAGACTTTCAGAGGGGACACATTCTCTTTAATAATACAGTATCTCCCATTTGTGATAACAAGTTCAAATGCAAGCAAAGTTTGGTAGCTTCATTGGATTAACTGACAAAAATAAATTCTTGTTTACGTATTGGCACAGTAATAAAATGTGCTTATGGAAAATGACAAATTCTTTTATTCCTTCCACAGGCCTCTCTCCTCAGCTCCTCCCCCCTTTAAATTACAATTTTATTCTGAGTTGGGTAGATGCCTGAAGCAGAGGATTAGAGGATCATTTCTAGGTCTCCAGAATCAACCTAGCTTATTTCATCACTGCCCAAAGAACATAGCTCCAGTGGCACAAGACTTCTACATAGCACCCACCATTGTTTTCTTTATTACTTTGGACAGAGAAATCAAAGACAAAATATGAGCTTTTCCATGCCTACAAGAGAATCTTTCAAATTAAAGTTTGAGGCATGTTTAAAAATAAGCTTACGCTGCTGCTAACCGTTACAAGTAGGTTCTGCTGAAAAAGAAAGGCTTTAATTTCTTTAGTCGGAATTTTGATTCATTTTATGAGCTGTTAACACTATTAAGCTAAGACATTTTAGTAGATAAACAGCAAATATATAAACAAATACAATATATATATTGTTTGCATAGTTCCTATGATATGTTGTAATTTGATACAAGCTAAAGCATGGCAAATTTGCCACGAGAAAATGTACGATGCTATGACAGTAGTTTCGAATAGTCAATCCCACTCCGCTAGGGATGCAGTGTTTGTCTTTTGAGTTGGTAGATTGAAGTGTGCATTTAAGCTGAAGTAGGACTTCTGAGCCTCATCTTAGATGCACGTGCATTCTGTTCCCCTTACTGCTTTCTCTACAAAAACAATTTTTACAGTAATAGATCTCTTATCCTGCAGTGTCTATGCATATAGATAGACAATACAAGGCTTGGAAATGGCTTCTAGCAGAGAAAGAGTAGGATGTGGTGTTAGAATTTCAAATACAAGCAAAGTGAAGAATTTGTTTTCAGTCGTAGTTGAGAAGTACTGAGTTGCTTTGCACCTTTAGGAAAGCAGTTGGAGAGAGCTGAGACTCAAGTATGTTATCTGGAAGGTGAGAATACCTTGTCCCACCATACTTGGGTGCTTTTTAGGCCAGGTAGCATGATGACAGGCAGCATTGTAGGTCCTCTAAGAACCAGTGTTTGCTTTAATAGAGAAGGACGAGAAGTGTGGTAGAAATGTATAGCAGTGTTACCTATCAGATGAGAATTGGAAAAAATTGAAACAACTGTAAAGTAACTGAGTGGAAAATGGTTCAATGTAATTCATTAGTATCACAGGCACTGTGAATTAACAAATGTAAAACCTCCTAAATTTTAAGGTTAAAAATAAATGGTGGTCTTTTTTTCTCATTTGCAGGGTACAGGCTTACCCAATTACTCACAAATTAGAAACACAAGCCTATTTAATGAGTAATCAGGGGCAATTAATTGCTTTTTCTGTTTTATTTTTAAGATATCATACTAAATAGGTCCTAATAAATTTCTGAATTAATTCTTGCTTTTGATGACATAATGCATGCTTGCTGGGCATTAATTTTTAAATAGAATGCAAAGATGGACTAAAATAAAGTACTTGTATCATGGGTCTCAATATTTATATAGGGTTTTTTGTTTGTATTCTTTTTAAGTAAATTGCAAGAATCTGAGAAGAAGTACATGGAACTCTTGACAGATGTTGAAAGACTGAAAAAGGAGACAGAAGAACTTAGATCAGAAAAGGGTATGGCAACAGATATGCAAATAAATAACATTTCACTTTGGTGGGTACATCTTATCTATCAAATGGCACTTTGCAGCGAAAATATGATAGCAACAGACTTTGGCATACAAAATGTAAGCACAATAACTGCATATTAAGATGTACCTACAGCAGTTGCATTTGCTCTTCTAATACATACTTTTAATATGCTTCAATTTTGTTGAAATACTTGAACCAGTGAAGTATTATTTGAGTTGGAACCACATTATTTGTATTTGGCATGTGTCTGGTGATTTACTGACAGAAAACTATTATAAGTATAGATATAATTTTTTCCCTCTTATGATGTGTGAAGGTATTTAGACTTTAAATACTTAATCTATTATGGTTTTGGGCCTATCTACACAGAGAGTAATCAACTGCAGAGACATTCATAGCATTCATTTATTTCTGAGATAACTTCTTTGATTGACTTTGTAACCACATAGTGAACAGTGTGGTCATGTTTGCTTTGCTGTGAAATTAAGAGTATGTCCTGGGATTTCTAGTGCATCTGTCTAACAGTGTTCTGTATTGTTTCTGGAAGAAGAGACTCTTTCGTAATTCTGAAATGAAAAAAAATTAATTGAGAGATGAGTAATGATTTGCTTGATTTTTTGCTGTTCCTGTAG